CATTTAAACTGACCTCTACTTTTATTGGTAGCTGTTGTAAAGAACAAATCCATCTTTTTTTCCCCGCAGTAACAGAATTTATATTGTTTTGATTTATTCAGTGGAGGAAAAAAAAAATCCCACATTCAAAAATAATTTGTGTGGGTTTGGAACTGGACCAAAGCAGAGAGAGGAACTGGGAGGGGAACTGATCCACACGGATGGAGCTGAACTAAAACACAAAGAAACTCTTTGATCAAGCGCAGGAGACCACTAAAATTCTTACAGAAACGAATCCAAATGTGCAAAGAAAAAAACACAAAGAAGTACCTATGGTTAAACCTTTTACATTACAATGTGCAATAAAAATAATTAGAAAGCAAAAACTGATGGATCATGACATTTTTTTTTATCAATTCAAGCCCTATTTATAAGCGCCCCTGAAAATTCCAATAAAAGCATATTTTTATTTCTTATTTTTGTGTTGATTAGCAATCCGTCTCGTGTTTTCATCTTTCTACTGCTGTAAATGAACACGTAAAGGCAAGACCTTTTGCTCTCAGCCTCGTAGTCGCGGTTTAATTTAAAAGGAAAATAACATTTTTAAAGCTCTGAATAGCATTTCTTGTCTTTATTCAGAGTGTCTATGAAACAGGCAAGGTGACAGTGATGGGTTGGCAGCATCAGAGTCTAAAACATGAAGAAGAAAAAACATTTTGCTTTCTAGCTGTAATCTTTTCCTTTGGATCCAGCACACATTTCAGATCAACAAGTCGTTTTTTGTCGAGTGCTCGGCTTATTTTCCAAGTGGGCTGTTTTATATTTTCTTTTCCAATTTACAGTTTTAAAGTGCATTACTCAAACTTGTTACTCAGCCAGCCATGACACTAACATGCACTCAGGGGACATTTTGACATGAATTTGTGGCACAAGAAGCTGCTGTAAACTGTCTGCTTTCCCATTACGAGGCAAAGCTAAAAAAGACACAAGCCGTGAGAAAACCGGTTAGTTATTTATCGTCAGCGTCGTGCTGCAGAGGCCAGTTTACCTCCTCTTGCCAACCACCCTGAGGGCCACCCGGAGCTCCATCCTGAGAGCATAGCAGCAGCAGTGGCGGCGATGGCGACAGTATTAGAGTGACAGCTCATAACAGCTGTTAGGGTTGAGAGGTGAGGCTGAGAAAAGACAAATGAGGTCCTTTTACTAATGAGGCAAGAGCTCATCCCTCCCCGTCCCTCTCAGCTGCAGCGGCGTTATCGGTATGCATCTCGCTCTGCTTCCTCTTTGTTTCCCGCCGCCTCCGAGGATTCTGCCTCCAGCATGGCAGCTCAGAGGAAAACTCCTAAAAAAACCAGCGGTGTGATGGCAGTGACGTTTGAATGAAGCCTGGTTCTTTATTATCAAAAGGCGCCACTTTAAACATATGGAGGAAATCTGATTTGCTTCGTTCACACAGAATCTGTGTCTCATGACGTCTGCTTTGTTTCTCTCCATGTAGCTAAATGTGTTTGCTGACTGGTCACCTTATGCTAAGCTGCCCTTTGATGCATCTACACATGCATCACGCTAAAGTACTGAAACCCATTAAGCCCTTTCACCTATTCTTTAGCTATGAATACAAACTTTGTGACAGATCCACATAAAGAGGGAAATGATTCAAGATTTTTGAAATATTTTACTTCCAAGTGCATTTTTATTCTGTCCTTCAGAGTAAATGCTTTGAAATTACTGCCTTGCTATTATATTACAATTGCAAATAATTTGTAAATAAGTAGTTTCTGTCTACCAGCTTTGCACATTTAGATTCAGATTATTTTCTATTCTTTTGCCAAATTATAATAAAGAGAGAACTTGGTGAACATCAACTCTTGCCATAGATCTTAACTGGATTTAGGCCTGGACTTTGACTAGGTCTAAACTAGATCTAAACCAGTCCATTGCAGTCCTTTTGAAAGCCTCTAAGGTTTTCTTCCAGTACCATCCTATGTTAAGTGTAATGATCTTGGTTCTGTTGGTTTTCTCTAAGTTTACAGTTTCATGTTTCTTTTCTAGCTTTATTGATGTGTTTTGGATTTATTTTAGTTTCTTAGGTTTTTCATCGCTTGTCCTCTGTTGCCCCCTTGTGTTTTCTTTTTCCTTGGCTTCCTCGTCAGCCCAACTCACACCTGCTCCTTATCAGCTCGTTAGTCCTGCCCTTTTTTTCAGTCAGCCATAAATACACTCCCTGTTCAGTCCCTCAGTGCTGGTTCCTCGTCTTACTTCGTCTCACCCTGGCTCCTTGTGATGGTTATCCCTTGATGTCTCCATGGTTCTGGTTTGTGTTTTCTTTTTATGTTGGATTTTTGGATACCTGTTTTTGTTGCCTGATCTTTCATTAAATACCGTAAATTCTCTAATATAGGCCCGGGCCTTTATTTCACTCAAGTGCATCGCGGTCCAGGCCTTTATTGAATAGAGGCCAGAATTAGAGACAGCCCTCTATTGCTATTTGAGCAAAACAGACTACCAGTGGAATGAATAAAAATGAGATTTTGTGTCTATTTGAACCTATAAAACACTAGGTTCATTTATTGAAAAAGTACAGTTACCATGTCTCGCTTGGTTTGAACTAAAAAAAAAAAAAAAATCCTCCAATTCTGTTTAATTCTCCTCCTCAGTTTTTCTCCTCCTCTTCATCTCCCCCTTTAATCTCCTCATCACTCACGCTCCTCCTGTTCTGCTGCGTGTCTGTTCTCTTCCTCGCGCCGACGGGCAGCAGTCAGGGCCTGTCGTCCAGCTGCGCAGGGCTGTGGTACTTGTATGTTACTTACTACCACAAGTATAATGTTGAGGTATGCCCAGAAAAAACGTTTATAGCCCCGGCCTGTATTAGAGACCGGCCATTATTTACCTCCTCTGACAGCGAGACCGGCCAATGTTAGAGTCCCGGCCGCTATTGGAATACAGGCCAATATTAGAGAATTTACGGTATTTAAAGAACTCACCCCTGCCTGTTAGTCTCTGCATTTGGGTCTTCACAAAATCCTCCAAACAAATCGTAATGTTTCACCGTGTCTTACGGTTGTAGTTCTAAATGGCATGTAGTTTTTAATTTTTTTTTTATTTCGGCCAAACGGTTCAGTTTTTGGCTGATATGGCCAGAACATCTCACTCCAAAAGTTTGTTGTGTTTTAAGCATAGCATGTGGCAATCCTCGAAACCTATGTCATGTGTTTCTGCCCTTTAACCCTTGCTTTTCTCTTCCCACTCTTCTGTAAAAGCCAAATTTGTGAAATGAAACACTAACAGCTGTTCAACCTTTAATTTTCTCTTCCCGAGTTCTTAATCTCTGCAGCTCCCCCAGAGTTACCGTGGGTCTCTTGGCTGCTTCCTGAATCATTTTAAGAGACACTTTTGCCTTTTATTAAAGCCAAAAAGGGTGTTTAGTGCCACAGAAAAAAAGCATGACTGTAGATTTTTGTTTAGATTTTTAAATGAAGGAACAAGAGTTTTTGATTTAATGCATTTTCTTTAATGGGACATTTACTAATTAGAATAAAATGGCATCGAAAGAAGCATATACCATGCTATTAATGAAGTAACCTTAATTAAAATATATCGTTTCTTTGAAATGTAATATACAATTTGCATAGAAATGTCTGGAGAAATAAAACGCTAAAATAGATTTCTTTTAATGACTTTTATATTTGAAAACAACGCTCAGCCCTTCATGAACTTTCGTGACAGAGGTCTTAAGAGTCATACAGGAGGCTCTAGAGTTTGCAACCACTGGTCTAGCTGGTTGCCAGACCTCCATAGGTTGTAGACAATGGATTGCAATGTTGTTTTTTTTAAACAAATCTTCCAATAAATGTGTGAAAACCTGTCTGCACTACTTCTTGGTCTTTCTGAACTTTTTCTGTATAAAAATGAGAATACAAGAGTCTGATTATAAATGAAGATCTGCATTTTATTTGTATAACCTTTTTAAAATCACTAATCATTTTACTTCGATTTTGTATTGGTCTATTCGTTAAATTACTTTTTTTTAATTAAGTCTGTTCTAACTAGATACAGGTTTTCATTATTTCAAGTGATATGAGAGATAGGAACATTTCTGCCAGGAACTATAGGGACCCCATTTAGGAATGGCTGTCCTTTGTTAATAACTTGTCATTCACAGGCTTAGATACAATTTTGCAGTTAATAGTTTGGTTCTGTCTGTGCAGAGTAATGTATTTTTTCTGCAAAATAAGTTGTGCGTCAAACTGACTGCAGCCCATTAAGGGGAGCTCAGCGATCACGGCAAACATTGGGTGTGAAGGAATTAAATGAAAGTAGGCCACCAGACACAGCAACGCATCATAGGAGGCATTTGAATTTCCAGGCGCTGCAGTAAATCAAGTTAAGCAGCAGAGAAAAACAAAAACCGACCGTACTGCTTTTTAAAAATGTGCAGTCTCTGCAGCTGATCCGCGGGCTTTTAGTCGGCGTATGTCAAATCCTCTGTGCTGAAAGTCGTTTAGAAAGTGACATTTTACAAAATGGTGGAGCAGATTGGCTTTTATTTTGAAATTGACTGTGCTGCTCTTCTGTCCCTGAGAGCTGTTGTAAAGTTATCTTTCCAGAACTGCATTATGCACTATTTTCAAATCAATCTCTCTTTATGTACCATTGGCTGTGATTCATTTAAAAGAATCAGATATTGATCCCAGCTCTCTTGTCCATGAGATGCTTAGCAGGGTGACATTCAGTTCCCTCATTGCCCATTTTCCCCTAACTCTAACACTGCAGAGACGGATTGATGCTGCGAAGTGTTACAGTACCAAGCGTTATCGATTTCCTAACAGAGCTTTGTGTCTACTTCTTTTCCTGATGATCCAATTCACTGATGCTACATGCTTTCCTCACACCCGGTGGATTGTTTGCTTGACGAAACGAGACTCATGCAGCTCCAGAGGCTGAGCGAGGCCGAGTCAAAGCTGGGATAAAAAGTGTCAGAGTACAGAGCGCATAACCCCAGTTTAATTTTCTCTTTCCAGATGGACTGGCTCGCACCTGAGATGTGAACTGTGTTATGTGAGCCGAGGTGTTTTCCCACCTTGCCGGTGGTGGGAAGAGATGCTGCGCGCCGTTACCATGGCAGCAGAAGTTCTACTTCTTCTTGGGTTCCTGATGAGCGGCACGCTGTGCAATCCCATAGCGACCCTACCGGTGAGCCGGGATCGTCTTGAGAAGGCGCTGACCCAATCCAGGGACGACAAACAGCAGGACAAGCAGGGCCCCGAGGAGTCTCTGGAATATGCTGCTCAGGAAAGAAATACCTTTGGCCCCAACAGGACTGCCCTGGATCTCAGCAGGCCGAACTTTAGCTCCCTGACACAAGGGTCCAAAGTCAGTACATCCCAGGAACAGTGGACCGAGCAGGACGCTCTAAACCAAATAGATGAGGGCCCCACCAGCGACGTTGCCCGGTCCCTGGATGCCATTGACGAGTATGCCTACCCAGACTACAGAGGGAAAGGCTGCATGGACGAGAGCGGCTTTGTGTTTGCCATCGGCGAGGAGTTTACCCCGGGCCCTTCAACATGCCCTTGCCTCTGCACAGACGAGGGCCCTCTCTGCACCCAGCCCGAATGTCCCAAGGTTCACCCTCGCTGCATTAAAGTGGACACCAGTCAGTGCTGCCCTCTGTGCAAAGAGAAAAAGAACTACTGCGAGTTTCGAGGCAAGGTCTACGCCTCGCTTGAAGAGTTTAAGGTGAGCTCTTTTTAACGCTTTTCCTCCTCGTTCACATGCTCCGACCCGAAAGAATTGCTGACCAAACGCTCCACGCTATCAATGGAGTTTATCGCCGGCACTACACAGAAACAAGTAACCTTGCCTTCCAGCATACAAGCAAGCACTCAGGCAGATTTATAATGGCAAAGGTCAGCACATGCTTTTTTCTTCTTCTTTTTTTTTGTTCCCCCTCACAAAATGTTACCGGAGGCTGAATTTAGCCACGCAGCTTCAGCAGAGTGTTTCCATATTCAGTTAGTCGATCCAAAGGGTTACAGCGCCCATAATGTTCCAGCTCTGCAGGGCACACTCATACGTGTGGGTGTTTGGGAAAGACACTGAGACACATCACTGAGGTCTTTACTCTTTTATCTTCTGTCACGTCTTTATAAAGAAGCTTGACTCTGGATTGCACCACTGTCTCAGTGCTATGTCTTTTATGAGGCAATAGATTTAACCCTAATGCTCCTTTTTATGTATGTAGCGTCTCCACAGATGGTTAAGCCTAATATGGAAAATCTGCCTCTAAATCTGCCCCGCTGGCATCTCTTCGTTAAGTCTCAGCTCAGGGGATTCTAACAGAGGGCTCTACTTCCAAAAGCAGCATACGTCAGGCTTTGGGCTGTGTGTAGGGGAGGTTCAACAGGCTGTTTTTTTTATGCTTGATTGCTACGTTCTGGGGCATTGTGCTAAGTGCTACCTCACTCCATTTTTCACAGTGGAGTGCCGTGCGGAGGCACAAGCTTCAGCAATCTGCAGCAGCGCTGGCAGAGTGAGTCTGTTTTTAGGACTAGAGGTGTATGACTTCATATAAGCAGCTGCAAAATGAAAGCTGCACGCACTGAATGTAAATCAAACTGTACCCCCTACACCCCCCCCGACCCCCAGCCTTTGTTTCACCTTTTCTCCCCCTTTTTTCAGACACACCGAAACACTCGGATGGCCGATTCTGTCAACGCTCAGGGGAAATGGAAAGCATCTCTCTATTGTTTCCCAGTTCCTATTGATTTCTCCTTATCTTCTGATTGAATAGCGTAGTTCAATTCTCGGTTCGGCCCTCTCAAAAATGAGGCGCTCATTGGCAATAAAGCTGAGAGAACTGAGACTCCCCGATAGATGTAGCTTTCTGATGTTGAAAGCATACTTTCTTAAACAACAAAGGCAGCTGGGAATTTTTATTTCTTCGTGTGTTTTCAGGAGCATTAGATACACATCCTTAGGGGGACCTTCACATCCCTCGAACTTTAACACATTTGGTCACGTTTCTATTAGAGGTAGACAGTTCCATCAGCCGGCTGATATTTTTGGCCGATATTAGTGTTCTGTTTTTTTTGTATTGACATCGTCTGCCATGTGCATGCTTTCACTTATTCGTTAGAGCGTTCAGTGTTGCTGCTCCATACATCTGCTTGTTAACTTTTTGTTTGATTTGTTAACAAATGTTATTTTTGTTCAGATTGAGACTTGTGTAACATTTGTTATTATTTTGGCAATAGGAGCTTCAAAAATAGGCCCAAATATACACAAACAAGTATAACTGTTCTATAAAGGTGGCATTTTTTTATTTGACGGAGATGTAGTTTATTTTATATTTATATATAAAATAAACAATGAGCAATAGATATTTCTTTTTATTTGGGTATTATTTTATGTTAAATAATATTTTATTTTAAGATATTATTTTATACCGTGTGTGTGTGTGTGTGCGTGTGTGTGTGTGTGTGTGTGTGTGTGTTTATATATACATTTATATATATATATATATGTATATGTATATGTATGTATATGTATATATGTATGTATATGTATATATATGTATATATGTATGTATATGTATATATATGTATATATATACACACATATATATGTGTGTGTATATATATATGTGTGTGATAGCAGTGTTTAATTATTCACAGTAAAATAAATGGAGGGATATTGTAGTTTTTTTTATAGCAGTATGCAGTTTAATGCAGTTGACTTTTTCTTTGTTCAGCTGTTGAAAAGCTTGGTTGTGCAGCCGAGAAGATTTGTGAAAATGTTGTTGTAAACTAAAGTGAGACCAAGTAAGAAAAACTTTGTGTTAGGCTGATAATAAAATAATCAGCATCCTCATAGCATCCGCACTCGATCGACCAATTGATCTATGATGACAGCACCAAACTTTAAAGTCCAAAGAGTTTAATCTAAAAAAGGCCTTGTGTATTTATACTTCGCCTCCATTATTCTGTCACCTCTAAATAAAATCAACCTCAACCAATCACCTTCACAAGCCTCACAGGGAATTTTTATTTTTTTCCCATAGACGGCCACCCTAAAGTGCCAGATTGGGAAACATCCCCACCTGGCAGCACGTAAGATGGTAAATGTTAGCCTCTAAATCCCATCATGCACCACATATTTTTACAAGATATTCAAACATAAATTTGCCAAATATAAGAGGAACATCATAGTTTGGTTTAAAGAAAGCATTTTAGTTTCATTATAATTTAGTTTGTTGCAAGGATTTCACAGATTGAAGAAATAGAAAATTACACCATATGCCAACCGTCACAAGGATGTGCATGACAAGGAAGGGCTATATATACTAGCCTCGTGAGACCATCCTGATCTCGCGAGCTTTCAAGGTTTTACTTGCAAATCAGTCTGGAGACTCTCCGTTAAAGAAAATTTGGATCCGTTCACCAAACGAACGTCCAATCAGCGTTGGCTTTGAGGCGGGTTGAGGTGTGACGCAACGAGAAGCGCGACAGTTCAGTCTAAGGAACATGGCGGCTTCAGCCGATGAAACTAGCGTTAGCGTGGCTATCGAGCAAGTTTTATCGGAATTACAGAGTATTTCTTCACTGAAAGAAGAGCAAAACACTGCTCTGGAGGCTTTTCTCAGAGGAAAAGATGTTTTTGCTCTTCTCCCGACTTGTTTCATCAAGAGTAGCCTGGCTTGTGGTTGTGTTTTCGTCGTTGCTCTGTTAGTACGTCATATGCTTTGTTGTTCTGATTGGTTTATTTGGCCCGTCTATCACCAACATAGGCCAATCAGCTAACCAGTATTTTCGCCCCTTCCCAAAATTACTTCAACGGAAGGTTTCCAGATGGATATGCGGAGCAAATCCATCTGGCGGAGTCAGGTTATATACAGTATATATACTGGATGCATCATTTTGGTAGGTAAAGTTGTATTACTACTTAAGTTATCTACTGTCACAGGTAGGTGCTTTGGCTGGAGATGAAGTGTTGGGGCCGGTATGATTCAAGGAGGGCCGGCCCTCGCATGCTGAAATTAGTAGCGGCCCATCGGGCATATGCCCGGTATCACCGATTACCACTCCAAGCTGGCCGTCCACCTTCACTGACATGCTGATTGAATAGAGAGTCTGTAGAAAACTCTCCATATACCTCCAACTGAGCTGCTTAACCATCATGGACAACAACACAATCACATTTCTGCTATTTCAGGCACTGCTGAACACATTACACTCAGGTGTCTCCAGGTTTATCAGACCATCACAGGTGATGTTATTTACCATCTATACAGGCAAAGAGAAAACATAAAGCAGGATTTCTTCCAGAAATATCAGTGCAGTTTTGGATCAATGATAAATTATCAGCATATCTCTCTTCAATGTGTCTCCCAGACATATATATTTTTGTACTTCCTTTCTGTTCATGATCTGTTCATGATCTGAGCATTTTTATGTAGTGTGTTTGGTGCTCACTATACCACTTTAAATGTCAGGTTGGTCACTGAAATCTGCTGTGGTGGGCACAAAATGCATATTAGGCCCGCCTCAAAATGTTGCTGCATGCCCCCTGAACAGACCTTTCCCATGATAAAGCACGGCGGTGGCAGCATCATTTTGTGTGAGGCTTTTTATTTATGATGGAAAGAAGGGTGGAGCTAAATTAATAGTTACCCTTGGGGCGTGAGGACGATCCTAGACATGCAGCCAGAGCTACCAAGGAAGGATTGAGATCAAACACATTTATGTTAATAGATGTTCACGATCCTTGATAATTTTTTTTTTGACAAGGCAGTTTACAAAGTCTTACTTAAAAAAAACTCTGATTTAGTTTTCAGCTATTTGACAAATAAACAGGTGAAAAATGTTTAAACTATAGTTGTGCAAAGGTGGTAGAGAAATGGCATGAAAATTTTTATTTATTTTATTTTTTTTACAGTGTCCTGTCTGGCAATGTGGCAATAAGAATTATTGTCTTGATGCCAAAAAGAGCCCAACAGATTTTACTTTCACAAGTGTAGCAGTATGGCAATTGCCATACTGCTCCACTTGTTTCATGCATATAAATTGCTTTATTATAATTATGCAGGGAGTTTTACAGTTTATATTGACACTGCAATGTAAATAGAACAGAACAGGGAAAAACAGAAGAAGAAAAAGAAAAAAAAAAGAGAAAAGATGAAAGAAAGGAGATCGAAAGGAGACAATGACAAAACATTTTCAGTCTGCTTCATCAACTGCAACGAGATGCAAAAAGAATTGCAGGAGACGTACAATAAAGCAACACCTTGAAACTATCGCTGAAGTAGTAATATTTAGTCTGGCATGAAAGATTTTAAGCTTGACTTGCAGGAAGGTGAACATAAAAGATACTTTCTTGGAGGGAAGATGTAAAAAACTTCTTGTTTTGTCCCACTTAAGCTCTACTTAATTATCTTTAATCGTGTTGGTTTTCTGCTTGTTTGTCGCTGTTATCCAGGTGTCTCCATGTGAAAAGTGCAGGTGTGAGCCCAGTGGAGAGGTGCTGTGCTCGGTGTCTGCCTGTCCTCAGACGGAGTGCGTGGATCCTGAGTACGAGCCCGACCAGTGCTGTCCCATCTGCAAGAGCGGTAAGTGACGTCTCTGTCAACAAGTGGTGAGGTTGAAGGCTGGACTTCAGCTCCACAAGCCTCCTAGTGGAGCACAGAGCAGAATGCAATGCTTTTTTTTTTTTTTTTTTGTTGCTCAGGGGCACTTCAGCTGCAGTAATGAGTGCTTTGTAGCTCAGTGTTCATTCTGCTGACACAGAAACACAGCATGCTGCACTGCAGTGTGCAACATCTTACCATATCAGGTTAGGTTTACTCTACAGGAGCCAGGCTAACCTTTATCTAACGAGGCATGCTATTCTTTTTGGAGAATAAATTTATATAGATGTCAGTTGGTCTCTTCCTTTAATATCTAGATTCAGACTTTCAAATACAACGGAGCAGGGGTTGTTTGGTATGTTTGCATCCCGTGTTCCTGTTTAATGATCTCAGAAAGCCTTAGCCTCTCTGAGAAAGAGGAATTCTGCATCTCAGAGTCGATTAGCTGGAAATGTTTCCGATGATTCCCGACAGCTTGTCCTAGATTATGTCCCCTTGTTTTCGTGGTGTGACTGTAATGCAACATGGCAATGTCAGCAACGCTGCTTCCTTCAGCAAAAAGAATGATGACTTGCGATATGTATCTCTGACTTTGAATCTTAAAGGGGTGTGGGCTGTTTGACATAAACAACAGCAAACAATTTGCATGAAGAGAAAGGAGGTGGAAAAAAGGCTCCTGCTGCTTGGAGTGAAGTGCTTTGGATGGCTAATGTAGATTTCTTTTTATTTTTTAGCTTGTTTGTTGTTTTTTTTTATTTCACTGTATACAGATTAAAGTATAAACTCTCCAGGATGTGAATTAGAGGCTGTTTTTTAAGGGTTGTCAGTAAAAATAAGTGGATTAAATGCATAAAACAGTCACTCAGTGACTTATTCAGCACGTGACATGCATCCACTTCCTTTAACTACACCCAAAAAAATTGCATTAGGATGATTTATATTAACTCAGAAAACATTTGCATCTAATGAATGCTCATGATGAGGTAATAATCAGACGTTGTTCTGCTCTTAATTAAAGGCTGCATCACAACCTTCACTGATAACAAGTAGGAAAAAAAAAGAATAAAATATTGGACGTCACTGTGTATTATGCACTCTATTAATATGTGCCTCCTGTAATCTCGGGGATACGTATTGGTCCCTTTTCCCATTTTTTTTTTTTTTTTTTTTTTTTTTTTTTTTTTCTGCTGTACACTGACTTTTTACATATGCACATATTGATCATGCTGAGGGAGCTTTGCACAGAGCTTGGCCCGTGCTCCATCTTTCCTCCTTTGAAATGCCCAGTGGATTTGCAGGGTCGTGTTCCAAGACTCATCAGTCTAGCAGACACATCAGGATACGATGCAATATTGTGCAGGGAGGGCATGCATTCGTCTTCCAGTAGATCCCCTCCCAAATCCATGAGCTCAATCACCCGTCAAGGATTTTCAGACAGCGTCAGTTGTTGTTAGCATAAAATTAGCACAGTTTACCATAAACAGAACTCGCCACGTCAAAGAGGCCAGGTTACATGACCACGACGAGCACCGCCATGCAGGAATGCATACAATCCTGGATTCTATGCTTAGAAGATTTCAGCAGAGTTTTAACAAATTGGCCTGAACCAACAGCTGCTTCTTGTCACTTCAAATTTATGCCCTGATAACCTCATCTGACTCATGCTATTCGGGGTTTTTGACACTTTCCATTTAATCTGGAAATAAAACTGCATTGTACAGAAAGTTTAATTTATAATTAGCTAACTTTTTTCCAGACAGGTAAGACTGGAAGGAGTTGTATAAGGGGGGGGGGCTGCTGGTTGAAGCTGTTTTAAAATATGATACATTATAGCAGTGGTTTAGTGTGGGGTGATCTCCAGAATGGAAGTATGTGTTTGAAAATGTTGCCATAAAAGGCATATGGTTACAAAATTATTTAGAATAAGAGATGTTTAAAAACTTAAAAATGAAAAGAGGAACCAGTTAAACAAAAAAAAAAAATCTAATTTCTATCTACTGCTGAATAACACCAAAAGGAAAATAAATATTAAGACAAATAAACATGCAACTAATGCTAATTTAATCAATTTAAAAAATATAACTGGAGTATAACTATGAACACCTTTTTGACTGGTGAAGGGAAGCAGTTTGACATAATTAAAATAATTTCTACAGTGCAAAAAATAGAAATCTCAATAAGTTATTTTTTCTTAAAATAAGTGCTTTTTCCTTGAATTGAGGAGATAAGTAAGACACTTTGCCAATGGAACAAGACAATTTCCTTTTAAAATAAGAAAAAACTATTTTATCGTCTTATTTCAAGTAAATATTATCTAACTATCTTATTTTAAGAGTAAAAATACTCATTCCATTGGCAGATCATCTTAAATTTCTGCTCAAATTAAGGGTAAATATACTTAATTTAAGAATTTTTTTTACTTATTTCTGGATTGTTTTTGCAGTGTAAACATTATTCAGTTTAATTTTCTTAGGTTTTCTTTCATACCTAGATGTAATTTTGTTCCAAAGGATGAGGACATTTCCACCTATAGCTTCGTAGTTTAGCTATGGTTTCTGCTCCAACCAGAAACACAGCAGCAGGTGCAAAAATGATCAGTGAGATCAAGAGAAAAATATTTCCTCAGAGAGAACTCCAATTGCTGGCCTCACCTGCAGAGCTCAGTGGTAACAGGTCTTCATGGCAGAGTTAATTTATTCCAGCTTATTAACCTGAGCATGCCCGGCTCTTTCAGCTGGATGGTTCCAGAACCATAGCCTTTATAAATTCAATTAGAGAAATCATTCTTGAACATATTATGCTCACGCCAAAGGGAATGAGAGGATCGTTTCTACCTTCTCTGACATCTCTGCCCTGTTTGTTTTTTGTTTTATAAAGCGGCATTACGGCAGGTTGCCTTCCTCCCTTTCTTCATCCTACAACATTAACACCAGCTTTCAGTTGAGAGCTTTATTTCCACCAATATTTATGCCACCAACGATGCAGATTGATTTGGACTATTTGCGCTAACCATCATTTGCATAAGTACACAGAGATTTGCGTGGATCTTCCACTAAACAAACCCTAATACCTTATTAGAATTTGTGCAGCTCAGAGGAACACTATTTATTCAATAGTAGAATTTTACAAACAGCTCATGCTTTCAACGTTGTTTAAATAATCACAAACTTTTGCTTTTGCTTATCAAACTCTCACAAATATCTTTTTGAAGCACTTCAAACCAAACCATTTTATGCTGCTGGAGTCTGTTTTAGTGGTATTGACTCTGTTAGACACAAATGAGTTAAACTATCTGATGCCTGTTTCCTAAATGTACTCAACATGATGCAAAAAACCCCCAAAAAACAGGTGATTTTGCACAAACATTAGTTTGGTCGTGGTCGTTGTGATCTTTTGCTGTTTTGCTGCATGGGAAGCAGGTACCTTAAATCAAATTATTCAAAACAGATTTTACCTCTTATGAAGGGCAATGCTTAAAATGACCTGTATCTAGATAAGTCAGGGACGTTGCAGATTATCTGAACAAAACCCGTCTAGATGAATTTGCTGACAGATTAAATTTTCCTTTCAAACAACCTCATATGAGAAACCTGCAACAAATAACATCCAAACCAGCTGGTTTAATCTCAGGGTACTGATGCTTCTGTAATGAGTTCAGAACATAGGACCCAATATTCAAGGTGAGACAGACCGTAGCAAGATTGAAAAAAAACGTTTATTAAAATCAGAAGGATACGCAGAGCTGTGGATCTGCGGCGGCTGTGGGGGAAGGCGGGGCACCGCTAATCACTGGCAACTCTGGTTTGAGAGAAAAACAGGTAAGTGACCATGATAATCAGACAGAAGAGGATTATCCTTGTGAGTCTCTAACCCGGTTTAACAGTTCAGTCCATCTCCTTAGAGCTAGGTAAAATCCAGCCGATGGACTGCCAACGAGATGCTGCAGCCCCTGTGAGCGGGCAGGTATCTGAGCCAGGTCAGGGAAACAGTTATGAACCGGAAGGATCAGAGATCCGGGAGTCCGTAGCCCGGTCAGCGGTTCCAATCAGAACAGGAACAGGCAGGTTCAGGGTTCCAAGATTCTAACAGAAAGTTCAGGCAGAACATGCAGATAGGAACAGGCAACCCCAGTAGTTGAGAGGCAGAACAAGGCATGATAACAGGAAAACTATGGAATGCTACAAACAAGCTTGTTCCACTGAGCCAAGACAGGAACAGCTCAATGGATAAGAGACAGGACATGATCAGGAACTCTGTGATACATTAGAAACCTCTCGGCACTGGCCTCAGAGAAAGAGAATATGAACTATGGCCTCATCAATAGTCTTAAACTAAAGTCAAACACAAAGTCAATGATCTGGGCCCCAATAGCTGGGAATAAACCGTCTATAAAGCAGCAGGAGCAGGTGGATAACATGAGTGATAATTAGTAACCAGAGTTAAGCAGGTGAGTGAAAAGAGCAATTAGGTCAGCCATCAGAGTCATGATCATGACAGCTTCTTACACAAACTCTCATTGGATACGTTCACACTGCAGGCCTTGATGCTCAATTCTCATTTTTTTGTGAAATCCTATTTTTTTCCGTTGCCGTTCACATTTCCAAATATATGCAACTTGTATGTGATCTCCTGTGTGAACTGCTGCCATACAACGCAATTGTCCCGCATGTGCAGTAGAGGACGCAATGACGTCACAGGCCAGCGTGCTCTGTGTTCACAGAACTAAACATGATTGTAGTGCTGGAGCGTATCTGGTGATCTTTCCCAACTATAAAAACACAATCTTTTCTAGATGGTTAAACATAAATACTGCTTTCCGCATCATCGCCTGCCATGGTTGTTGTTTTTGTTTGCCGTTTCTTCATAGCAAAACCCAGAATAGTGACCTTTGTCGGGTATTAAGGTCGGATGAATGTGACCTGGCCGTTCAGACACAGGTCGCATTTGAAAAGATCAGATTCGTATCGGATTCAGGACCACAT